GCTGGGTGGAATGGCCTGCTAATTTCATTGAAATACATCTTGATCTTCTTTTATATAATTAATTTGCAAAACTAACATGTTTCATTATGTATTATATATAATTTAATTTAAGCAGTAAGTCGTTCATGACTTCTAAATAATGAAATTTATTATATATTAATATATTGATTAGAGTTTTCAAAAATACTTTAGTTTATCCGAATATAGTATAGAAATTTTAAGAAATCTTATTTCCAGCAAGGTATATGTGAATATTGTACAATTCATGTCACACACACACACACTCTTCATATGTTCGCGCCCATACGATAGACAGAATCATGCTAATTATGTAGTGATGTAGAAGGAGGGGGGGAGAGAAGAGGGATAAGCCTTGTCTCCATAACATATTTGTGAAAGTAGACTTAAGCTTATTTCCTATTCCCTCTTAATATTTCGGCTAATATGTTTTCTTTTCTCTCAATATCATTTCCTTTTGATTGTTCACAGGTCCTTTTGAAGGCAATTCTGCTAAAAATATAATCAGATATTGAATGTAGACATCTTTTTTAGTAGAGATTTAATAGTTCACCATGTTGTTTGGAACTTGTCCATTTGGCTAGACTTAATTCCCATTAATCTCAGTGTCACTTCTTTAACACAACTTTATCATTGTTGGATTTTCTTTCAATATCAACTTAAATCAATACACACTTTTCTACATCTCTCCTTTAAATTATGTGGCTACACTACCTGTCATACCTCAAGACGCCACACACCCACTAGCTTGCCTTTCAGCCAGAGGGGGATCAATGTTTTTCTATGTAGATACATGACTCCAATATGGACTTTTGTCACCTTTATGCTCTCTCTTATAATAGATATAGTATAAATGCATGTGAAGATAAGCAGAAAAAAAAAATCAAAGAGAATAATTACCAATGAAATTGTTGAAATGGAATATTCTGATTGACAATATATCCAAAAACTCAGATATTGATAGAATACAATAATATCATACAATCTATATAACTAACTCTCACCTAGTGATCAGACAAGGATCGTTGTTGCATCGCTTCGATTTGTTGTAACAAAGTCTTGATATATACTACTTTAATAAAATTTAAATTTGAATAGCTCTTTTACCATAGCCATCAAAAGTGATTTATAGGTTAAATTTAAAGCAAACACTCTACCTTCGATTTACATGTCGTAGTCTTTGCTAAGTTCAAACTTGAACTGTGGCAAGTCGAAAGACATGCTCTTATCCTCGGTTGCGTCAGTGTTCGATTAGAAACATTCAAAAAGCAATATGCGTGATCAATCGGCAAAAGAAAACAAGGGTAAAAAATGGAACAATTATTAGTGGGGCAGAGTCATTACAATTTTGCAATGTAAGGAGCACATATTACGAATACGAAACACGCAGCGCCCTTGGAGCATCATCATGGTGAAATGAGAAACTTGTGTACACATGGATGCACATTACGAAAATTGTGCTCAAGAACAAATCAGAGAACGAACAGATCTCTATATATATTTCTATATATCCCAATCAAAAGTGTGAGTGTGTGTAGTGCAATTCAAGGGACCCCATTGCTTACGGAAAAGATGCAGTAAATGGAGCCACATATAAACAATATTAGTGATCACACATCGCCATTTTCCCAGCTGGAGGGCGTTATAAAGTTGATGAATTATTGTTCAAATCCCATTCATTATCTACGAGAAAAGGCTAAAAAAAGAAAAGAAAACAGACATTACAAGGATATATGGCGGCCACCAATTGACGAAGGAGAGAGGGAATTATCGATTCTGTATCTACCTTCCTAGTATTCGTCAATTTCTCTCCTTTCGTCGGTCACCAGGCTGCAGCTGGCACTTGCAATTTATCACAAACTTCACTATTTATTCACGATCTATAGCAAACTGTAATTTAATGTAAACTATGCATGATGTGACTTTGATTTACTACAAGCAATGGACAAGAGCTCACCTGATTTTGGTTTAATATCTCAGACTTTCTGTTAATTAATTGATGTAAACATGCTGTATGTAGTCTTACTTTTGTTTAAAAAAATTGAGAGTTTTGACTAATTGTCAATTTAAAATGAGTTTTTTAATAATCATCTCCTCCTTTCAATGCTGCCAAGAAGATCAAATACTTGATTATGCATAATTGGATCATTTTCAATCAAGTAAGTAAATGTGTTGATTTGAAGTTTCTTATCATATACTCATTCTGTTTAAAAATATAAAATTTTTTTAATTGAATTTCATCCTTAAGTAGTTATCTACTTTCAAACTAATCCTATCTTTTTATATTTATTTCTATTAAACACCCTACAGTAAACATAAAGTTATTATTAATAGGGACACTTTTTAAAAAAAAGACAATTATTACATCTTGAAAAATTAAAAATGTCTTATATTTTTGAACATTCAACTTCTTAAAAAATACCTTACATTTTTTAATAGAAAAAGTATACTTTAGATGCCATTATTTGTTATATGACTTATTTCCTCTGGACCACAATGTAAATTATCTTTTAAAAACCTTACCTTGTCCAAAATATAGGATGTTGGATAATTTTTGTATTTATTTTTCAACCATACCCTTACATCATTTACTATTATTTTGAAAAAAATTATAAATTAAAATTTTAATTACTGTTATTAAGATTCATATATAAAATATTTAATGAGAATATAAATAAAAAAATTTAAATATTTTTAAAAATTTAAAATTTTAATTAATATTATTTATAAATTATGAATTAGTTCACTATAATTTATACTGTCACTCATGTAGAATATTTTAAAGGTACGGAAATCCGTAAACATCGGCCGTGGCGTAATTTATTTGTCTCATGCGCGAATTATCGTAGCTTTTAATTCAGAAAAGGTCAATCTTCATAATGAAAATGAAAATTTGACTGTGCGAGACAACGTGCATTGATATCGAGAAATTGTCAGGGAGAAATATCTGTGCCACGTACCGTTCCATGTCTGTTCATGAGGAGAGGTTGGTTCATATGTAATTCCTGGGATCAGATATTAATCATTGCATATTAGCGTGTGTACGTTAAGCATACTTTGAGCAAAATGTTGGTTGAAGCTGGAGTGAAGATAATGAACGTGCGTCATGGATGACGATGACAAAGGGAGGTGAAACTTTTGGACGGCGGTCACAAACGGGACTGTGCTCCTCAAAATTATGAAATTTGAATAGTTCCAATTTTTTAATAAATAGTTTATTATTTATTTACATTTATATCTTATATTTAATAAAAAATTATAAATTTTTTTAACATTTTTCATCAATCAGGATAATATAAATTTAATTTAAAATTAAAATTTTTATAAATTGATCATTCAGATATACTTCATATATTGGATAGTTTAAATTTAATATTATCTTTTATAATTTTTATAAATTTTTATTTTAATAAATATAATATTAAAAATAAAAATAATATCCTAACTGGTAAGTCTAATAAAAATATATTTTTTTAAAAAATTATAATTTTAAATATGAACTTCTCATAATAAATCTGGATAATAAAATTGTAAAATTTAAATTATAAAAAATTTTAATATTAAATTTAAATCATCTAAATTAAATTTAGACTATTCAGTTAATAATAAATAGATTTAGTAAAAAATTATAATTTTAAATATGAACTTCTCATAATAAATCTGGATACTAAAATTATAAAATTTAAATTATAAAAACTTTTAATATTAAATTTGAACCATCTAAATTAAATTTAGACTGTGAAAAATTATAATTTTTATAATTTTGTATTCTAATAAATATAAAATAAAAAATTAATTTAAAACATTAGATCTAGGTCCAGATATTTTTAGGGTGATGAATACCAATGATGAGCACTTCCGTCCCAAATTGAGTAACGTAGGAGAATGCCTTCCGTTGTGAAGCTATCATGCACTTTTTTATCCTCTCCAAGTAATTAATGACGATAATTGACACCCAAAAAAATAAAAAAATAAAAAAAGCAATGACGATAATTTCTCTGCGGATCATTGTTAGAGGTCTAGGTCAAATTCTGAAAGTTACACAATTATCCTTTTGTTCAAATAAAATTTGAAAACCCCAATTTCCTAGGATACGGAATGTTGAAATAAAAAAAAAAAGAAAGAAAGTTATTTAATTGGGTTCAATAATATTTAAATTTAAATCTAATCTAATAATATATTAGTATTAGATATCAAGCATCTATTCATCATCAACAACGACAACAATATGTGCAATCATTAAATTTTAAGTATAATAAGAACGAGACATGTTTATGTTTATTGCGTGTGTGTTTATTACGTTATTACTTACATAACATTACACGAACACGGAACGCACATAAAGCTTATATAAAATAGTTAACTTTTTAAATTTACAATAAATTTTAATAATAGGAAACTTTAAAATTAAAATTAATAAATCATATTTTTTAAAATAATTAATATTATTCTTAAAGATCTTTTTCATCCAGAGAAAAGTAATCTCCTCTAATAATTAGTTTTTTAGCCTGTCATCCATTCAGCCGTCTATCTTTTTATTGCTTTCAATCCATGGAACAGAGAGATTATAAAGGACAAGACATAATAAGTGCTTTACAACTAAGGATCTGTTTGTTGGGAAGGAATTGGATTTTATTTTATATAAATATCATCATTAAATACTACACACACACACTTGATATTAATTGGCAAAAAATTATCAATCAATATATACAAATTATATGTAGCTCTTGTGTTGTGTTTAGCACATATAAAGTGTAAGGAATAAGTTGCACCATTCGTGGATATATGAATATCACTTTTTAATCAAATTTTATGTTTTAGATTGATACACGAAGAAGTGACACAGAAATCTTAATAGCGTGACTCGCAGTCTCAAAAATTAATGAAATATCTGTAACTTTTTTTTTTTTTAAAATGCCATTCCAAAGCACCAAACAAACGTGATTCAACTCATTTGCCTCACTTTTAGTGGTCGAGGATAATTCAGAAAAAAAGTAGTTAATAGATATTTATAATAAGATGAAGTCATTAAGAAGGCAACAAAGACAGCAAAAGTGGCGGCGGCCAATGGACGAAGGATCCAGGCTTCTTTCACCACAAATAAAATGACAAGCTTCCATCTTTTTTTTTTTTTTTTTTGGGCCAAGACAAGTTTCCATCTTTAATCAAGTGCCAGCTGTGAAGGCATCTGATCAAAGAAAAAGCACTCTGGTAAGAACGAAAAAGCAGTCAACTCAACGGTGAACTTTGCTGTTGGATCGGGCCCCTGAGCAAAGGCCCAAAAGCCCAAACATCTGATCTCTAAACCAGTAGTAAACATGGCCAGCTAATTTACACACAGAGCGCTGTCAATTCGACCTCTCTGAGATAATCCATATTCAGCTTCATAAATCACGACCCTCTCAGGAGCGGACAGTGAGACCCATCATCTGTAAAGCACTACCAAATATCTGCGACGAGAGTGACATCTTCACTCCATGCTATTGACTGTGTCGAAGAGCGACACATCAGCAATTTTAATATTTTACATGCGCCATGAGGAAGAAGGGAGATTAGGTTCTGCAGGTTTTCTCAAAATAACAAACAAAAGGATGAGGATAATATACCAAATGCAAGATAACTTTCATTGAAAAAAAAAACGACTGTTATTAATTAAGTAAAACCTGTAATTACATTTCCTTGATAATTCCAAGCGCATTTTGCAATAATTCTCGTAATATCCCTGGTAACAATCTCGAGACAGAGCTCGACCTTGTCAAAAGACTTGAAAAAAAAAAAAAAAACCCTTTTTCTCACAGCTTTATGGGAGAATTAATGGGTTCCTCACTGAATTTTTTTTCCCCCGAGAGATCTATTTCATGCAGAGTATGTTTTCTCAGCATATCGTGTGAGAATTTTTGTGAGAATGCGGGGTTCTTTTCATTGATTTCCAGTATTTCTTAAAAAATTGTCTGCGAGAATTTCATTATGCTCATATTGACTCAATCTGGCTATATGATCGAAGACTAGAAGGCAGGTCGAGTACCTTAATATGCTTTTACCTATCCATTTTGAAACGAGAAACATGTTGTTCAGAAAGAAATTTAAACCGATCACTAAGTCAGCGTCGACTAATTGATCGATCTGGATAATGTTTAAATAACCTCGGCAAAGTGTTGTTATCTTCAACTCAACACTTCATTTGCATTTATATATTCATATATTCAGTTCAGAAAATAAAAAAAATGTACAAGAAAATATAAAATATATCAGAGCTCTTAAAGTTTAAAAAGTAGAATTGCAAGAAATTGATAAAACATCAGCGACAGGCAACTTCGATGTCTGAAGAAGGCTTGTGACTAATGTTTAGAACTATTAGAAATAAGAGCGAGAAAATAGAGAATGATTGAAAAATGTTATATCCATTATTGAAATGAAGGTTACATTATATACATAAAGAAAATAGAAAATACAATAATGACTAATAACTATATAATAATATCAAATATATAATATCTCATAATAATAATTGAGATATATACACAATAATAATAAAAGATATCTGAAGAATATTTTAGATAACAGTTTATATATCCAAAACCTTCTCGTCTTTCGTAGAAAATATCCAGAACACTTAGCAAGGAGAATTGAGAAATAATTCAAGTGAGAAATACGAATAATCTTAAGATTATCGCATCAAATGAACAAAAGAGAAAGGCAATAGACAGTCAACAGAATAGTTTAACAAGGGAACGACCAAAGTCTACCATAGCAAATTAGCAAAAGACGAAAGCTTCGCATGCTAGCTAGAAGTAGTCATCTTTGAAAACGACGACACACAATTACCTTGTCACCCAGCACTAATTCCGTCAGAAAGAATACATAAGTCGTCTTCGAAAATGAAAGTGAGAAAATTTATTAGGAAAAAACAATGTGCAAATTGAAACAGAATGGTAGCAAGAATCATGAAATCCAAATTTAATTTGATGAACAGACAGAAACCGAGAATTATACATGTAGTCGATGTTGAAACAGAAATGAAGAAACAATTTATTTCTAGAAACACAGTTAGGGGGAATCTGCATAGCGCTTCTAGGGCTAGCCCAGTGAAATGAAAATTTCTTTAATGACAATAATTGTCAACTTTGGTTAATGAAGGAGTGAAATATTGAACCGTTTACACTATGGGCTGGGCCCATAATATCCTATCTTATCGTTTACCTGTTGGCAAGAGTTCGATTATCGGTTGGCTTTGGTTCACATCAATTTCAACTACATGCATATTATGTGTCTTTTCCCTTCGCCGTTTGTTTTACATCTGGCCGCCAGAGTTCCTGCCCCTGATTATCGTGGGTCTCACTCTCATCTCACTTTCTTGAGATTTTTTCTCGCTCTCTCCCTCTATACAATATATTATTTCAATATTAAATAAATCAGAATACGAATCATCCCTCGTATTTTTTTTGAAAAATAATAAAATAACACCGTCATATGAGATAGCAATACATTGGATATTTTATAATTTCAGCTTATCATTTATCGTGTGTATTTTACATGATGTTATTATGAAATTTAAAAACATAATCTAGCATGAGATAGTAAATTACTAACTAATAAAGTCAAAAATATTTGAAGCGAAAAAATGATAAAACAAAAATGTAATTTTTATAGTCACACTGTACATCAATAGACGTGAAAGAGAAATGGTTTATTGCACGGAATAATAATTTCACGGGAACGATCGCTATCTTCGCTGATTGAGAGGATAACAGATATTTTTGATGCGGCCATTCCATAAATATCAAATGCGGTTGTCTTTGGCGTTGGATCTAATGACGTGGCGATGCGATGGTCCCACGACACGTGTAAAAGTGCTGACAACTGTAACCTCCTTTTTTTCCCCCAGCACCGCCTCTCCCACCTCCTCCAACTGCATCGCCTTCCCCTTCCCCCTTCACTCTCTTCTCCTTCCCAATGAGGAGCACCTCACACAGAGCAACTCGGACGATTCCACCCGCCCTCCGGTGCGATTCCACCGACTTTACGCCTTTTCCACCTGACCTGATGCAGGTATCTTTCTTGCTACTTCCTAATTGCTTCTCTCTCCGTTCTTTGCTCCTGTGATTCTTCATCGGAGCAGAGGAATTGCCTACTTTTGAAGTATTGGAAAGAGTCTAGTCATCGTTATTTATGCGGTTAGGTTATATATCGGTTCTTCATGGTACAGACAATTTTTGAAGAACACCACGCCGTGAAATTGTGTCCTCCTTTGATCTTAAATAAACACGTTTCTATTTTTTTTAAAATTTATTATTTTTATTTCGATGTCTCTTTCCGATTCTATATATTTTAAATCTTTTTTCTTTCCTTTTATTTTTTGGCAAAATATTGAATTCTTCTGTATCTTGTCAGCTAGAAACCTCACAAACTTCTTTCAAAATCGTTGAAGACTTGACACACCTAGATTTCTCCTGTTGGTGTAATTTTGTACAAATATTTTTTTTTTCTCTCACGGATTTTCACAGGACGCCCCCGATCCTTTATGAATTCAGAAGGTTTTTATAAAACATCATGTATGCTTTAAATAGTCAGGAACTTTTTGTTGATAGAGAGAGGGGGGGGATAGAAACACTTGGAGTTTTTGTTATCATTCAGATTTTGAAATTTTGGTTTATATCAATCTTATGTTTTTCTTATGTTACTAATATAAATATTGCTGATGGTAAAGAAGGAGAAGAACTCGTTATTAGTTTGGATGCAGTATGAATCATGAAAAAATATTTGACAGTTGTACTAAAGAAATTGAACTTTAAAAAAATAATGCAGCTTGTGACGACTACAATTTCATCTAATTGTGTTTTTACCTGGTAAAAGCTCTGATGGGATAGTCTTTATTTTTGTCCATAATATTTATGAGGGTCCTTCAAATGTCTTACAGCCTTTTTCATTAGAAGAAACTGTATTTAAGGTATGGAAGCTTGTAATCTATGGTTAATGCGCTTTGGTTTTACGCTGAATAACCTTCTTGTATGTTGATGTTTTGGGTGTCCATCTCAGGGCACAACAGAGGCAGAACCTCTGTCAATGGCAGTGGAGTGGACAAATGAGAAACATAGTCTGTATCTGAAGTCCATGGAAGCATCGTTTGTGAACCAGTTATATGATTCCAAGCGAATTCTTGGTTGGAGATATCATGAAGGCACTTCCTTCCCCTCTACTGCCTCTTCTGGCCAGGTCTATGCTATTTCTTTTGTCCTTTGCAAATATTTGAATACCAGTTCTATCTACATAGAAGACCTCTCTTGTATCTGACCTGTCTTTTTGTGTTTAATCATTTGCTCTACTTCAGTTCAAGGTGCTTCGAGGTGGTAGTTGGCACAACATCAACTTTAAAAGAGAAAATCCTCAGATAAATAGAGCTAATGAATGCCATGATTTAAATGAAAATCCTTGGATTCAGCACTTCAGATCTTCAAGCAAACAAGGAAGTGTAACATCTCCTGTGGTTGAAGAAACTGCTACTTCTAAAATGGAAGCTGCCGGTTTAGGCCAGAGGAGAGGAATTGTCACTGGATTACCTACGAGTTCAGGGCACATTCACCTCTGCAAGTCTCGCTCATCTCAGCAAGATGCGTTATGCGATGATACAGGTGCTCCAGAATCTTCTTCTACCTCTGCCTCTGAACTTATCTTTCAAATTTTGCTCTATTATCTCAGGCTTTCATAGCAATCTTGATCCATAGCTGTTGATTATTGTGACGGTTCAGACGTTGCAAGTCTATCCACGTGTGACTAATTCTCCTTGTTTCACAGTCTTAGCTTAACTATGTATTATAGCTCCCTCTACATCAAAATTTTAATTGGACGAACTGATTGGTACAGAGATGTCAGATCAGAACTTCGTTGATGAAGAAGTGGAAGGCGAAAAGGAAAGCGAGAGAAGCAGTAACGTCAAAAGGCTGAAACCTCTGGAATCTCATACTAAATACAATGACCAGGTAATTTGTTTATACGTATGACTTGAGTTATTTGGACGTCCGAATTGGTGAGGGGCTTTCTAGAACTCGATCATCCATTTCAAAATGCTCTTTTTTAGATGGTGCCTCTGAGCAAGTAGTGTACCAGTGAAGATGTAACACAACAACTACTGTGTTTCTGCAGCTCAGAGTTTAGCATCACTTCACTCGCGGGGTGGCAGCTGAAATAGGGCCCGGCTTAATTTGAACATCAAACATGCCGCCGATTTTTGGATTTTGTTATTGTAACATATATATGTTGTTGCAATTCTCACGCTAATAATAGTCATTGCTGGGATCATCTGTCATTCGTGTCTAAATTTGAAGATGTTTCCCATCTTTGCTTCTCCCTTCTCTTTCCGGTAAAATGCCTGTTCCCCGGGGGGGGGGGGGATCTTAATTATATTTCTAGAATTACAATTATAATGTTAAATTTAATGGGATAGATAAAAAAATTGTCAGATATGATAGTTACGGCGCTGTAATTACAACTCACGATAAATTTAAGTTCTATGAAGTTTGCTCGAGTGGTAAATTAAAGAACAAAAATAATCAGTTGATTAATAACAGCAATCGGTTAATACCGGTATTGGCTGCAGAGCAGGGAAAATGAAGTTTCCGGTGAAGAATCGGCTATCTTTGTGCCTTATATTCTTTAATAATTATTTAAACAACAAATTATGTATTTATTTTATTAAGTTAAAGTGTATTTTTAGTTTTTTGATAAAGTTTTAATTTAATTTTTTAATTTTATAAAATAATTTTTTTAATTTTTTAAGCTTAGCATCATTTGTTTTAAATAATTATTTATTGTGTCAATCATTATTAATTAAAAAAATTAAAGTTCAAATATTGACATTTAAAAATATTTTTGTAATATTTAAAAATTCATTGTGAAAATTTATTGGAATAAAATCAATAATATTAAGGTTAAAGAATTAAAAAAATATTTTATAAAATTAATGAATTAAAATGAAATGTTAGATAAAGTTAAAGAATTAAATATATATTTTATTCATTATATTGCTAGAGAGTTTTGATAATAAATACATGAAAATTGATGTTTTTTAAAAAATATAAATGTACGTGTGGTTACTAGATGAGAAGCATATGAAGAAATGACTGGAGTTGGGCCAAGAGCCCAAGACAATCTGGGTATCAATATGGGCACGTCCGATTTGGTGATCTCATAAAAAGAACTTATACGACAGGAACAAAATGCTCCTCCTGTCTCAACTACATGGCATCTTATCCTAAATGTAAGGCATGTTATTCATTACTATTTTTCAATTTTCATTTTATTATAAATTTAATTTCATAGCTCATCATATATGTTGTATCCCTTTTACTATTTCTTTTTTTATACAAATCTCTCTTTCTATTTTTAAATTGGGCAAAGTTAAAAAAAAATTATTGTAAGATATATTTAATAAATTAACTGTCATTCTTTAGTTTTAATAAAATAATTAAAAGCATCTTATAATAAGGAGTTTGAAAAGTATAATTTTACAAAGATAAATATATAAATTTTTGTTTAGGTATAATTTACAATACATATTAATAGTTGGAGCCTTTTTTAATATTAAAATTCCATCAAAATCACGAAAAATATCAAGCCGAAGCCCGACCCATGCTTGTTTCCCCGGAGTTCTGGGATGTGGCCCAATGTATTGTATTCCCATGAGCAAACCAGAGTTTTTTTTAATAAAAAGAAAAAGCATGGGAAAATTATATTTAGGTTTTTCAAAAAAAAACTTATTATCAAAAGGTCTTATAAATTTTACAAAATACTTTCAAATCTTAAATCCTGTACATTGACAACTTAATTAAGAGTATCGACAACTAAATAGCGGCCATTTATAATTTTAAGAAAAATGGCCTCAATGGTAAGTTTTAAATAACCATTATTCAATTGTTAATGCTTTTAGTTAAATTGTCAATGCACATAATTTAAAATTTAAGAGTGCTTTGTGAAATTCATGAATCTTCTCGTAAGGCTTGATTGTAATTTTTTCAAAAAATACTCAACCCTTCTGCAACTTTATCAAGTCATCATGTATGCAGGGCCGCATCCCAGTGCATATTGAGAGTGAACATACGCGTTGCAAGCATCAGCAAGCATTTTATTTATATTTTTTTATACAATTATCCATTATCCGTACATTTAAATAGGGTCACATTGACAATAAAGCTTTCCTAGCAAGTATATAGCATAGCTAAATATTCAAAACTTAAATTCAAGATTCCTAATTAAGTTAGGATAACTTATCAGCTGAACAATGTGCTCGCTAATAACATTTTTGTAGTTGTTGTGTACTTACAAGTATTTTCACATAAACTTACATGAGTGCATATATGTTCAAACGTATCTAAATTCATAGAAGTCTGAATATTTGCATGTGGGTGCACAAGGGTTAATGTATAATTTTGTAGTGGACTGAGATTGTAACTTTTAATATATAATACTCGTATTGTAAAAAATTAAAAAGATAATTAATAAATAATAACTAGATAACTAGGATTCTATAACTTAAATTAATATAATTAATACATGTATAGTTTTTTAAAATTGTCCTTAATTTAAATTATTAGTTTTAATTAGCAGTTTTTTTAATGGAATGGTGAAATCCATGCTATCAATAGAGATTTTTTTTTTTAAAAAAATAGAAGTCCAAAAATCGTCTCCTCTGTCATGATATGCATAATTCAAGACTGAAACATACAGATTTATGAAAAAAGCATATAATACTTGATCTGTGCAGATTCTTTTTTTTTTTTTTTTGCCGAAAAAATTGACCTGTTCGGATTGCCAGTAAATATGTCGTACTCATTTCTAAAATGAGCATAATATTTTAGTTTGCATCGCATGTGTACTTGTCAACTTTCCAGATGAAGACAGGCCAAATGAAATCCTGTGGGGGCAATCAAGTTTTGAAAAATAAGTGAGGCCAAGATAAACAAAATGTTAAGGGGATAAGAATCAACCCACTAGTCACCATACTTGTTGAGCACGTAATGCCAACCAGGGTAATCCCATGGTTTACATACATTATGAGATTAAAAGGTCCTCGCTCACACTCATGACCCATCCCAAACAGGATATTTGTGTCTTTTCTTAGCTTCATGGGTGAAAATATCTGCCTCTGCCTCTCAAACCTTTTCGCCCCGTTCCCACTTCACGTGCTCCAACCCAATCACCCCATATCCTTTTCTTTTTAGATTTCCTTAAAACTATTCCATCAATGTCTATAAGTTTTGTAATAATATATGAGGTTAATATTCATTTTTACTTTTCAATTTTATCCAAAAAATTATTGGGCGTTGTAAATACAAATATAGATTAATTCTGTCCTTTGATGTTAAAAATTTAGTTCTCAATGTCTCTGATGTTATTTTTTTTATTACATGACTCTTGCATTTAAATTTTTTTATTATAAAATATTTAAATAGGTTTCACAATTTATTTTTTAATATATTTTTCACTTTCTTTTCCCCATCCGTCTCCTTCTTTCTTCCCTCTCCTCCAAATATGCACCAACGTACTCCACCACACGTCAAAGAGCTTTGTGGAGCACCAAACTCGCCATCCTATAACCATACTTAAACCATGGCATGGAGGGATAGAGGAAGGGTTGGTGGAGAAGTCCAAATGCCATCGTCACGACATTATGCTTGCATGGGATACACGGAGGCAGAAATAACTTGATGGAGACTGGGCGAAATTCGAGAAAACTTCACAAAACTAATATTTGTGCACTTGCAAGAAATTAAAGAGCTAAGTTGCAATGTGTGCGCCAAACTTAGAGAGAGTAAATATGTACCCTGTTTACCTCTGTTTTTTTTAAGATAAAACCACATACGAGCAAGGTTATACATCCTACACCTATCCTTGTGTGTCTATACTTTTATCCTATGTTTGATTGGAGGAAAGAAGAAGAGAAGAATTTTAATGAAGGAAGGAGAAGGATTTAATAGAGGGAAGGGGAGGGTTTGGAAAATTTTATAATTTTTCCATCCCTCCATATTGCCAAATAAAGAGAGGAGAGCCCCTCACCTCCTCTTGTCCCATCCAAAATTTTCCTTCCCGTACAACTAAATGGGAGATTTTAAGTTTATATTGGGTTTGAGGGTTACGTTCATGAATATCCCTAGAAAAATGTTGCGTTGCAATAGTACAAATGAAGTTAGGCGATTTAGCATTATATTATAATCTCTCAGCCACATGTGAGAATCAAAGACCAAATCTTGAGTATTAAAAATAGTGGATGAGCTGGAGCCTCTGCATGGGACACATTGAGTCATGACTTGGAATTGCCACATCGGGATTCCGTCAACCATGAAGCCATAAAGGAGAATGATGGCATGCTTTTTGTTCTGGATCGGAGATTGGAAGGAACTTAGAAATTGATGAGAAGCTTGGCAAACTCCATGGCAGAGAGGGGGAGAGAGTTGGTAAAGAAAAGAAGAAGATGGGGAGAGAGAGAGAGAGAGAGATGAGGAATGGGCCTAATGCATGCAGGTGGGTGCTCAACTTGTAGAAGGTGGAGAGAGGAGAGAGAGGGTGAAAGAGAAAGCAGTGAAGAATTTATAGCACGCATGCGTGAGTGAGGATGGAATGAATGAAGCGCTTGGATGATCTTTTAGATTGAAGTTAATTACGTACAGCGGGGGTGATGTAAACGAGGCCGGTGATCATGCCCTGAACTGCGCTCATGACGGAAGGCTTGGATGAGGACTAAAGAAAGGATCATGAGTAGAGCCAAAAATAAAGTTTGAGTTTGGATGGCCTGTTTAATTAAAAGTTTAGACGTTAAAAATTAAACTTTTTTAAAGTAACTTAATTTGAGGCATGGGTTTAATAAGCCATGTAAAAAATATATTGAGTTCGAGTGACTCTTTAAATTATTATTATTATTATTATTATTATTATTGTTATTGTTATTATTTTGTAAAATATGTGTTTGAAACTAAGAAAGACTTGCTTACTTGAAGTCCTGATCCTACACGCGTTATATCATTATTAATTTTAATTTATTCTAAAATTAATTTAATATACTTTAATACAAATAAGTGTATAGTATAAATGTTTTAATTTTTTTATTTTTCTATAATTATTATATTTGTATATTTATAAAAAATGAAATATTTTTTCAACCAAGATTTGAATTTTCTTACTAAACTTTTAAATGTGTATTGTTTAATTTCTAAAAGATTATGAAAATTTTAATTTTTTTAATTTTAAAATATTTTAATTAATTTACGGTGCTTAATTTTATTTTAATTTTTTAATTTTTTTAGAATAAGGCTGATGAGCTCGATCCCAAGCCCTTCAAATAAGGGTTAGGTTTGAAAAAATGAGTGAAAATAAAAAATCAAACTTAATGACTCAAGCCCTTATGGGCTAGCCCATAAGGATTGAGCTCGCCTGTTTCCTAACTCTAAATTGATGAGAGGAGGGGGGAGAGAGAGTAATATTTTTGCATTATAATAAATAAAAATTGTGGATCCCACTATTAAATATTTCATAATAGAAATATTAAAAAATTTAAATGCGGGATCCATATAATGGCAAAATTATTTCAAGGGCACTGAGAATCAAATTTCCAATGTTAAGAGACAGAATTGACCCACAGTTAAGTTTATGATATTCAGTGACCTATTGAATAAAATTAAAGGGAAAAAAATGAACTATAATCCTAATCTATACCATTCATGAGTTGTGAATATTAAATAATAATATTCATTATTAGTTAAACTTTTTACATAAAATTTACAGATAATGACAGAGAGGTTTTAAGAAGATTAATTAATTCAACTTGGATTTCAAGTTTCAAACTTTAAGAATTTATAAGTTTGGCTTTTAATTTTACAATTTATGTTCCTAACTCTAACAAGGAAAATAAATTAGTTTATTCTTCAAATATATTAAAATTTAAAAAATAAGTTACAAATTTATCACAATAAAATTTTAAAAATTGAGAAACAAACTTATAAATTTATGAAGTTTAAGACTTATGACATAAGTTGAATTAATTAATTTTTTTGGGACTTCTTTATTGTTCTCTCTAAAATTTGTAATAAATCACACCATTCATAAATTGTAAATATTTTTATTTATTAATTAAACTCTATATAATATATGGATAATTCTAGTCAATGTCAATGTTACTGTCCTCAATATCATCGTCAATATAAAATATAAAATTTATATAATCTTCAAACTCATTAATATGTATCTAATTTAATTGCCTTATAAGGCATCTCAAGTTTAATTTTGGGCATTTTTAAAATTTAAAAATTAACGAGTGTGAATTTTTAATTTGGATTTTTCTCTCAAGCTTATTTAACACCATTATTACCCTTGACCCAAAAAAAAGCACCATTATTACCCAATAAATGATTACTTGCAATCAAATTTTGTTCCACATAAATGTTTAGAACAATTATAAATTTCAATTGAGTTGCAACAAATAATCTCTTCATGTTTAATTTTGGGCATTTTTAAAATTTAAAAATTAACGTGTGTGAATTTTTAATTTGGCTTTTTCTCTCAAGCTTATTTAACACCATTATTACACTTGACCCAAAAAAAAAAGCACCATTATTACCCAATAAATGATTACCTGCAATCAAATTTTGTCCCACATAAATGTTTAGAACAATTATAAATTTCAATTGAATTGCAACAAATAATCTCGTGTCCTGCAATGTTATTTTGTTGCAGTAGGTAAAGGGACTAAGCTCCAAATAACAATCATTGTACCTTCGTTGTTTGTCATATGTCATCCTTTAGAAAGATTTTGCATTTTCTATCATGAGTTATTCTTTTGACCTGAATTATCATAAGTTATTTTGCATACTATTAAAAGTAATGAACGTGTTTATGGTAAAAATATCCCAATACAACTACACTAAACATTATCCCGCTGGCCGGGGACTAAAAATGCCCAAATAAATACACAAAATTATTCGACCCCGTTAATTTGGCTCATCCCCCATTAAAAAGAGTTGACTATATATATGTATATGTATTTTGATAAAAAGACAATTATATTAAAAGCAATAAAGGGAAATTACAATCTAAAAACTTGTACAAGTTGTCTCGCAAACAGATAAGTTGAAGAAGTCAAGAAGATATTTTAAAAAACATAAAAAAGACAGTAAATTTCAAATGTCCCCTGTTATCGCTGACATAAAAGAGAGTTGACTGTATTCAACGAGAAGGATATTTGAGAAAACTTAAAATAGGTTTTTTGGTCAAACTCAAAATAGTTTAAAGATATTGACAGGTTAATAATATTTACCACATGTTTGGATGCGCATTAAATATAATGGTTAAAAATAATCATACAATGGAGTTCCTCGAGAATGAGAAGGGCAATTTACTTATCTGAACGCAAGCATAGATCAGTCAACTTCTCTCTCATAATAATATTTTAAAGTATTTGTTGAAGTATTTTTATCCTTAAAATAATTAAATTGAAGCATCATCTACTCTACTCATTAAATTTAAATTTTCATAAATGTCCATTAAAAAAGTTGTCTTGAACTAAACTCTAATTAAATGAATGTTTATGGAAATTTAACAATCGTGCAGAGAATATTTGTGACAAATTTAGAAATAAAAATACTTTAACAAATTCTTCGAGGTGTTGAGTGTCCATCAACAAATATTTGTGACAAAAATATACCTTTATCCAGTATCGCTTTAATACAAAATAATTAATATATATTAGGAGAGAGTAAACTTTACGTTAGTCGTTGGGGGATGGAGGGCGTAGCCCACTATGGGACGGCACTAGTAGTAATGTGATGAAAGAATCGTGTACGGCCAGGATTCTTTGAATAGAAAAAGTGTGAGCTGATTGGGTGGGCGTCACATCACAGTCCTCCTAACATGTGATGATTGGTCCACGTTCCAATGTCGGCAGTGTGCACTGTTCCCCCACCTTATGTCTTTCTTATAAGCCAACCAAATGAAGAACCACTAGGGACATTCGACACTTGGCGCCTCTCCCCGTTAGCACACCATCCCTGCTCGCTTTTGTTTTTCTCTCCAAATTTAGAACTTATACTAAGGTAATTCCACTTTTCTCTTTCTCCGATTTGTGCTTCTTTTCCTAGTTTTGAGATCTCACTTCACCCCCCTTATTGTATTCATGTTTCCTTTTCATCCATCGATTGTCATTTTGGGTTAATTCTTCCTTTTTTTCTGTCTCTTGTGAAAATTGTCTTCACTCTCAACACTGCCTCGTGTTTATCAGGACACTGTTTCTGGTTGGGGACACTGGGTTGAATGGTATTTTCCACCATCATGATTCCGATTGGGGATTATTTCATGGAGATTCATGCTAATTATGTTTTCGAACAAAGACAATTTTAGATTTAGGATTTGGTCCAGACAAAGTGAACACTTCCTACTCGATTCCTGGAGTTTATCTTCTGCGGGATTTCATTGTAAATTCTGGCCAATCGGTTCTCTGTATAGGGAATCTTTTTTTTTTTTTTTAATTTTATTTCGTTTGATTGTGGAAGTGAGAGGGAGGCTTTGCTGATTTAGATTTGTGCCGGTGTAAGCTTGGATGCGCTTCTGATTCTGTTTCGTTCAGATTTTACCAAACTGGGACCAAAATGAACTTCGGTAATGAGCATGGAGGCGGAAACGCCGGCGGCGGAAGGCCTCTGGCAAATTTTCCGCTGGCACGACAACCGTCAGTCTACTCCCTGACATTCGATGAGTTTGTGAGTACTATGGGAGGTTCTGGAAAGGACTTTGGGTCGATGAACATGGATGAGCTGCTTAAGAACATCTGGAGTGCTGAAGAGGTTCAAACAATGGCTTCCTTGAGTGGTGGTCAACTGGGTGGAAGTGCCTCTGGTGGGCATTTGCAGAGACAAGGCTCCTTGACGTTGCCGCGAACACTTAGCCAGAAAACCGTAGATGAGGTTTGGAAGGATATTTCCAAGGACAATGGTGCGGAGAAGGATGCTCCAAATATCCCACAGAGGCAGCAGACTTTGGGAGAGATAACGTTGGAAGAGTTCTTGGTGAGAGCAGGAGTTGTCAGAGAAGAAGCACAAGCACAATTGTTGGGAAAGCCAAATGGTATGGATTTCCCCGATTTATCTCGTACTGGAAATAATAATGGTGTAGGATTGGGTTTTCAGCAGATGAACAAGGGTTCAGACTTAATGACAAACCAAATTACCGGGAATAATGACCAGCTACCTCTTCAGTCTCGCGCCAATTTGCCATTGAATGTAAACGGTGCTAGATCGAATCAGCAACAGATGCCGAATTCAAAGTTACCACAGCCACAGATATTTCCAAAGCAGCCTGCCATGCCTTATGCTGGTCAGATGCCATTAACGAACAACGCTCAGCTAGGTAATCAAGGAATGAGAGGTGGAATGGCGGGTATTGTGGATCAGGGTCTGAATGGTAATCTGGTTCAGAGTTCAGCGCTGCAAAGTGGAGGGATGGGCATGATTGGTTTAGGACCTGGGGCTGTTCGTGTGGCTACAGGATCACCAGCTAATCAGCTGTCTTGTGACGAAATTGGAAAGAATAATGATGACACTTCGTCAGTGTCGCCACTTCCTTATGTGTTCAATGGTGGTTTAAGAGGGAGGAAAACCAGTGGGGCTGTAGAGAAGGTTATTGAGAGGAGACAGAGGAGAATGATCAAGAACAGAGAGTCTGCTGCTAGGTCCCGGGCTCGTAAGCAGGTAACTTTGTGTTTGGAACCTCATTTTATCCTCTTCTCCACCAGTCACCAACCCAGCGTCTTTCTTTTTAATATGATTTCTCTAAATTTAGCAGTCAGAGGCTGCGGCATCTGCTGACTCAAGTAAATTATTGATGCAACAGAATCAATATTTTGCCCCTCCATTTCAAAATATAAGGGAGGATCTGATACAATTGCTTTTATCTTGTAAAATTCCCTCAAGACTGTATTTGCATGTCCTTAACTCTAGTACTGCTGCCCCTATCTGCTGGCCCGCGATAGTTAATTGTGCCTGTAAATGTAGATGTGCTTCCAATAACTTGAATCACGGAAGAGTTTCCATGGTCCTAATTATGATAACATTATGTGTAAGTTATATTTCAAGAAGGTTTAATACCATAAGGATTTTCTTTTTTTTTCCAAAATTAAAAGCAAATGTGAGGGAGTTGGTTAATAATAGAGCACAATGGCATTGTACGATTCATGTAGCTAATCTTAATAGGATAAGGTTCATTGTTGTTGCTGTTAAGAGAAAATATGAGGATTTACATTATTGATTTACTAATACTACTAGCCATTGACATTCTGCTTTTATCCTCTGTGGACATGCTGTATACCGAATTAGATTCATGAAAGATTATGCAGCAGAATGGTAATATGATAGCAATCTGAACTGGATGAAAGGGAAAGATTTTGAGAAGTTACGGTCATGAGAAGTTGTAAACATCCAGGTTTTTACAAGGTAATGGATCATCTGATGTAGGAAAACGTAACAAACAGTTGCATCATTAAAAGACATAAACTCTGATTATAAGTTCAATATGTATCACCTTTGAGTATGGTTTCGGTGGGGATATAATATCGGTTGTAAGTACCCTATAAGTTATATGTTTAAATAAATCTAGATGTTCACTGCAAATTCAGTCTCCCATTTCCATTTTCCCTTCTCTCAGGCCTATACCATGGAATTGGAGGCAGAAGTTGCAAAGTTAAAAGAGGAGAATGAAGAACTTAGGAGGAAGCAGGTTAGTTAAGTCATTGCTTTTTGTCAGCAACAGATGCTGGCATGCCTATTTATACAACTATTTGGCTTAAGTTATCTTTCTTTCTTGTTATTTTTATTAATGAGCAGTTATTTGGATACTGCAGGCAGAAATCATGGAAATGCAAGAGAATCAAGTAAGTTGTCCCCTGGTTTATTTCTATTTTATATGCAGGATTAATTTGCTCCTTCATTGTTTAATTGATATGTTTGTTTTGACCATCCCATTCCAGATATCATGCCTCGTCTGTAGACTAATTGACCAGAATAACGTGGTGTCATGCTCTTAACTTCGTACAAATAAGATGCCATTTGTTCCCCCTTGAATCTTACTCTTAGGCTGCATTTTGTACCTTGAAAAACGTTTTGCAGACAATCTTTTCTACAAAAAAATGGATAATTGGTGTAATTTATAAAACATGTATTAAGTGATTTTTCTGTGTATCCTTAAGTTGGTACACTTGCCATGACCAACATGAGATGAATTCAGGAAGTTGGATTGGTTCAGAGTGGTGACCGACGAATATGTTACCCTTACCATGACTTAGTTTCTTAATTATACTGTCAATAACTAGAATAAGCTTCGAGGCTCATTTTTTACATAATTTCCGTACAATTTGGGTTACTTTCTGTGCTTTGGTGACATTTCTTTTCCACTTTTTTTATTTCCTTGATTATTGTAGAACTGACCTGATGATCTATTTAGGAAAAGGAAAGAAAAAGGAAGGAAATATTCTTCTTTATATCATGTTGCACGTATATAAGTTCCATATTTTCTGTGCTTAGCGTCCATTATTACTGTCATATCTTCCGTTCATCTTAATAGCCTACTTGGTCTCCAATTCGGAATTCTTCCAGCCTGATGCATGCACCGAGTGACTAAGAACTATCACACTCTAGCGTGTATATAGTTAATCTGTTAATAATTGTCAAAGGATCGTTCTATATCATGTGAAGCTGAAGATAGAATGGTTCGAATTAGCTGCGTCAGTAAAAAATGTAATAATGAGGAAATCTTCTCAAGAAGTTTCTGTTAATGAAAAAATGTTCCGTATGTGTGGAGTTTCTTGAGATACGAACCAGTAGTGCATTAGATTACATCTGTTTTCTTTGCCCCCTAATAAATTGTGACGACATATAGATAGCTTTCTTGGAAGCGCCTTCTGCTTCAAATTTGTAGCTTTTACCACTTGTTCTCTGCCTATTATTCTGAAATATGCAAATGCTGGCAAAAACACTTTCTCTATGCTTATTCCCCACTGTACTGGAAGATATGATGTGTTAAAAATTACATTTTATAATGCGGCGAGAATTGATAATAGCTTTGTCCTGAATTTTGTGGCTTTTGGTAACATCTCAGGTAAAGGAGATGAGGAATTTGCAACAGGGAGTCAAGAAAAGGTGCTTAAGACGAACACAAACTGGACCATGGTAGAGTGAAAATGCGAGTTGGCTCCACCATTGAAGGCCATGTATCTTAGATTAATGTACATACATGTAAAACCATATTTTGTTGTAGATTCATAGGTAGTTTCTAGATTAGCACCAAGTTTGATATCTGGTTCCTCTTTGGAATACCATAAGTGGCTAGGTAAGGGTGAAATATACCGTGTGAGTATGTTTTAGCACACGTCAAACTTCATGCCACCGTTGCCCACTTGTTACAATCTTGCGCGGTCTGCTCTTCGCTGGATGTGATTTTGGGGGACACAAGTTTTTGGTCTTAAAAGTTAACGATTTGTTGCACACTTGGTGGTACAGTGTCCTACATGGGAGAGTTACCAGGCGGTGCATTTTTCTAGTTGCATCAACAAGGAAACCACTTTTGGTGCGGCCAGACACGTGTTGTACTGCTGTCTGTATTGTAAGGCACACTAATAGGTCATATGGTTAAGCTCAACTCTATATTTAATTAAATTACACAAACTAATAAAAATTAGTTATCTATTTGAAAGTATAGTAATATTTCAGTTTTACTCCTAATTATTGTAAGTAAAAAAATGATTTTTTTAAAATAAATTTATGAGTACTTATATTTTTTTTCTTCCCATTGTAATAAGAGTATAATGGTTTATTTAATAAAAAATATGCTAATAGATTTTTATATTTAAGATTAAAAATAGGTTCTAAAATTTTTTTTTATGTAGAAATAGAGGAGTATATAATTCAAGCATTCAACGCCTCTTCATTTCTCACGGGTAGGTGGATTTGTGATGAATAGCATGCCACTGAATTCTGTTCCACGTAATGTAACTTTAAGGTGCTTACTTACCTGGATTGATGGCCGAATTTAAATGGATGCGTCATGACTGCAACTCGCAAGGCAACTGTTGAATGCGTTACAAAAATGAAATGAATAAAAATTCTAAATTCATTGTAAAGTATTCACAGTAATGGATATCAATTTCAGTGCAAAAGCATAGTTATGAATTTGAATTCTCTTGATGAATAAAATTACCGACTGACTTGCTGATCATTATGACCGTGAAATCTACTAATCATTTTGGGGCCCTTTTACCCAATCTTTTTGCCATTATCATCTCAAACGAATGAAAGTCCGTAGGGTTTAATACTGTTCATCGCACACGAATGAAATATTCCCTAAACTTCATATTTTCCAGTTTAATTTATCAATACTATTCATGGCCAAAAGAAGTTACAAAAATGTAGCAGGATTTGGGGAAAGACTGGATATGACTCAAGCTTCGTACAGGCAAATGATCTCTGTAATGCGCATGTTCAATAGAAAACTACAATTATGACACCTTCAGATTTCAGATAATTGAAAAACAAGTTACTGCTACCTGCTAGGTCGGATTCTGTACAAGTAGAATCTAGTATAAATTTTGAACCCCTAAACTGAGTATTTTCAGTAAGAAAATACTGCACCCTAGTCATCAAAGCGTCACTAAAACAAGACCTTGAGAAACCCAGCGAAAAGTGGCTGAAATTAGAAACCCAGATATGTAGCTGATTTACCCCGCCATTTAACCATACTCATTCATCAGTTGAGTTGAACCATTTAAACGCTGCCACAGTTCTGTTTGCTTGTCCAGTCAAGCGAATTGATATCACATGGCTGAATTAATGAACGCGAGAAGTACAACCTCGTCCTAATCAAGATAAGCTCTGTTTCTCTAGCAAACATTGCCGCCTCCAGACCTCTTGACTATTGGGATTAGTTGGGGATGAATTCCAAGTTCTTCCAGGAGACAATCTTCCTTCGATCCCTTCCTCTAAAAGATCTATTCAGGAACCTACCGTTTACTGGTTTGCATAGACCAACGTCAACAACAGAGGTACAACTTCTCCCTTCAGATGATTGGGAAGCCTCGTCTAAGTAACAGTTGAACAACATAGCAAGACAACGCACTTGATGCGCCAAGACATGATTTTGTTGATCCGCAGGTAGCACCTTTAGCATGTGAAGATTGACCTACAATTGAGACAAGGGAAACATGAATATCACCATAAGGACAGATAAAGAAATCAAGGAAGCGGGGTAATCCACAGGTTTTTCACAGTGGCCGTTTTCCTTCCAGCTTTCCTTTTTTTTTTTTTTAATTGGATGAGAGAAGAGGGAGGGGGTCAAAGATCTGGCTCGTCCATCGCTGTCATTGTGAGCTAAAACACCACATCACGTTACTATCCAATGAATCCCCTATCCTTAAATATTTGTATTTCTAAGACGTTGTCTGTTCATTTTATAGCAATGATACCTCTCAGGAAGAACATGAGTTTTACTCACCTCAGCTTCCATAGCACGAAGTTCATTGTACCAGTCCAAATCATCATTCTCTTGATGTTTATTTCCAGAAGATACAAGGCAAATTGTCAATGCAAAAAGAGGAGGCCTCACAGGATATTCCATACTGATCTTGATCTGTCAGAAGAAACAGAAATAAAAGCCTAGGTGAACATGTTGATTAACCATCAACTGACAATTCAGAGAGAAAAAGGGATTACATACCTTTGCCTCTAGATTCACAGTCCTCCTATCCACCCCAATTTTTCCACTTAGAACAAGGCAAAATTCCTTGAGTCCATAATCCATCCATGAGATCCCAGACCTTTTGGGACAAAGATCATATGCCATATCCTCAGGTTCTGGTTCAATTTGTGCAGGCTCATCAAGATCACTCTCAGCATCCATCAAAAAGTCACAGTTCTCATCAAAGTTCTTAAAACTCCGGGATTTAACCTTGTTGAGATGGGGGGTAATGCTTTTTGAAATCAAGCTCAGCTGCTTGGAATGGTCTAGACTGGATCCTTTTGAATAAGGAGGTTCGACATCACCAACAACAGAAATGTTAGGCAGCAAAGATGGAAGTTCCCCATCTTCCCTTGTACCCTCTAGTTCTTCTTTTGTGGTGCCAGATTTCTCACCTGCATCAACATTCATTGGTTCCTGACTGTGCTCCTCCTTATCCACAACCACGAGGGATGAAGACTCGTTTGATATGGATCTTACAGGTGACCAAACATCCAAATTGCATGAAGGAGTGTGCAAAGCCCATGGAACACTTTTGCAGGATAGAAGAGGCCACTCAAGTTTCACAAGAGATTCAAGCTGCTCCCTGTAAGCCAGCAAAGGAAAACGAACAATTTTAACTTAGGTATGCTCAGCCACAACAAACACAAAATAAGGGGAAGTCCTCCAAAATTAGAATGGTATGTTGAATTTGAAAACACAGTCTAATAAGAGCAGAATGAATGGACAGGAGAGGAGCAAAGAAAAATATGACCACTTGTCACTATAGCAGAGGCCAAGACAAAGTTTAAGTTGATCACATTATAGTGTTTATCTTCATTGAGTAAGGAGGATCCTTCTATTTATAAAACTTCAAAAATACAAAAGAACTGCAACTCACAGAAGAGCCAACTGAGCTTTCCTACGTGAACGTATTCTCTCCAGAACTGTCTGCACCCGGTTCTGCTGGCGATAAAGTGAAAGCCCAGACATGACATCTTCATTCTTTGCTCTGTCGCCTGATGCTTCACAGCCAGATAGCAGCAGAGGAGATGCCTCTGGCAAGAAATCAATACCCGCGAGGTGCTGAGCCCATTTGTAAGGTCGTGAAGTTCTATGACCTTTGAACATCATAGAATCCCCAACAGAGAGCTTGGCTAACTGAATTGCATTCAAAAAGAAGAGAATGACATAAATTGAAAGTTCAACTCAGGTAGAACGAAGAATAAGCCAATGACATGCAAAGGGTTGATCATACCACATGAGGAAGTTCAAAACCAGTGTCATCAGGGAACAAGCTGCATAAGATATCATTCTCAGGATTATCATTAGATGCTTCAATCCCAACACAAATGACATTCAACTTCACCAAGTATTCAAATCTTAGAGTAATGAGCTTTGCTGGCTTGGGATCAGATCCCTCATCATCATACACATGGAGGATGACTTTAAGTGGATGAACTTGAAATACTCCTGCCTGATCAAGGCTTTCCTTGACTTGAACCCTCCTCGGTCGTTTTCTCCGCCTCTGCCCATCTTCTTCCTCATCAGGTGCATCATCATCTATTTTGAAACTTTCCACAGTGGGGGAAATGCCTGAGTAAATAATATAAAAACATGTCACAATACTCCTGGATTTTCTGTTTTCGGGTGGGAGACAATATTAATGTCAAAGTTGAATAAGGAACCACAATTAAAGTATCCAAATGCTTTAACAATGCCACAGCTAAGGGGGTTGCACAATTAGAAAGAACGAAGATATCAAAGATGCCTACTACTACTACTACTACTGAGATGGCAGTACCTGAATACTAGACAATACTAATAAAACTGCCTATCGTTTGATCCCTGACCTGTTTCAACATTGTAACTTGACACTGCTGAAAACACCCCCCACCAAAAAAAAAAAAAGTTCAATGTTGGCCTAACCGTTGGACTAATGGTCTAGTTTAAACTTTAAAGTTGAATCATCAATATATTGACTGATTAATTTCATAATTCAGTAGACTCACTGCCAGCTGCAGGTGTCTGATTAAATTTGAATAATTGCTAGAATTGATATGTCAACTCTTATTACCAGTGTCCTTTTGAGCTTGATGGCGGGCAAAAGCTTGAGCATCTTTGAGACTTCCCATGGTCTCCACATCAATGGATTCTCCAAATGCCTCCTTTTGAGCCAACAGCTGTGAGTAAATCACATATAGAGGTGGTGGAAGCAACTCTGCTGAATGAAGCTGCTTTTGTTTCTTAGTATGCAAAACTCCTAATTGATTTTGCACTGGCAAGGATGTTTTCTTAAGAGATTTGAGATGTGAAGGGAGACTTGAGAGGAACTTCTTTCGATTTGCAATTGTCTCAGAAAGACTTTTCTTTTGCAGTTCCAG